GTGGGGGAAGGGGTGGGGAGGGCCTGGGAAGGGGTGGGAGGGCCTGGGAAGGGGTGGGAGGGGGAAGGGGAGGAGGGGAGCAGGTCTGGTCCATCTGCGAAGGTCCCCTTCAGCAGCTCCTCTCAACATCGTTCACTGCCACAAAGGTTCGTCCAGGCACCAGCAGGGTGAAACACTGTGAGCAAGGAAGGGTAGAGAGGAGGACCACACCGCACCTAGTGGCAGCCGTCTCAACCATACTAATTGAAGACCTTGGGCAGGGGACCAGGGACCAGGGGGAAGACCAGGAGGACCAGGGAGAGGAGGACCACAGGAATGAGGAGTGCGAAAATCAAAGGGAAGGAATTGTGGGACAGGGAAATGGGGAAGTTAAAGGATATCCAGGTGATGGTAATGGGTACTAAGGTGACTTGGGAGAAAGGAGGGAGAGGAAGAGGGAGGAAAGGCATTGAGGAAGGGGAATAAGGGAAGACGAAAAGAGGTTGAGAAGGAGGGGCCTGAAGAGGTCTACGATTATGAGATCTGGTCTGAGACTTGTGTAAGATAGGTGTGGTCTGTAAGACCACATGTGTACTAATAAAGGGTCTTGTTGTTGTTGTTGTTGTTGTTGTTGTTGTTGTTGTTGTTGTTGTTGTTGTTGTTGTTGTTGTTGTTGTTGTTGTTGTTGTTGTTGTTGTTTTTTTTCTTCTTCTTCTTCTTCTTCTTCTTCTTCTTCTTCTTCTTCTTCTTCTTCTTCTTCTTCTTCTTCTTCTTCTTCTTCTTCTTCTTCTTCTTCTTCTTCTTCTTCTTCTTTCTTATTATTATTATTATTATTATATTAATAATTATTAATTATTATTATTATTATCATTATTAATTATTATTATTATTATTATTATTATTATTATTATTATTATTATTATTATATTATTATTATTATTTTCAACGCACCGGCCATATCCCACGAGGTCAGGTGACCTAAACCGAAAACGAAAGTTTTTCTTTTTAAATTTAGTAATGAATACAGGAGAAGGGGTGACTAGCCTCTTGTGCCGGCATTTTAGTCGCCTCTTACGACACGCATGGCTTACGGAGGAGGAATTCTGTTCCACTTCCTCATCGAGATAAGAAGAAATAAACAAGAACAAGAACTATTAAGAAAATACAAGGAAACCCAGAGGGATGTGTAAATATATCTGCTTTTACATCCATGTGTAGTGTGACTTAAGTGTCAGTAGAAGTAGCATGATACATACCTGTTATCCCGCGTGGTTATGAAACAGAAAAAAACACCAGCAATCCTACTATCATATAAAACAATTATAGGTTTATGTTTCACACTCACTTGGCAGGACGGTAGTACCTCCCTGGGTGGTTGTTGTATTATTTTTATTGTTGTTGTTGTTATTATTATTATTATTATTATTATTATTATTATTATTATTATTATTATTATTATTATTATTATTATTATTATTATTATTATTATTATTATTATCATTATTATCATTATTATTATTATTATTATTATTATTATTATTATTATTATTATTATTATTATAATTATTATCATTATTATCATTACTATTATTATTATTATTATTATTATTATTATTATTATGTGTAGTAGTAATAATAAGGTCAGTTTTAGGTCTGGTATGTAGCCCGCAACGTGAATGATACGAACACACACACACACACACACACACACACACACACACACACACACACACACACACACACACACACACACACACACCAACACACACACATAGACACACACACACACACACACACACACAACACACACACACACACACACACACATACACACACACACGCACAACACACATCTTAATAAGGAATCATTCAGGACCCTGTACACCGTGTACGTTAGGCCATATTGGAGTATGCGCCACCAGTTTGGAACCCACACCTAGCCAAACACGTAAAGAAACTAGAGAAAGTGCAAAGGTTTGCAACAAGACTAGTCCCAGAGCTAAGAGGTATGTCCTACGAGGAGAGGTTAAGGGAAATCAACCTGACGACACTGGAGGACAGGAGAGATAGGGGGGACATGAATAACGACATACAAAATACTGAGAGGAAATTGACAAGGTGGACAAAGACAGGATGTTCCAGAGATTGGACACAGTAACAAGGGGACATAGTTGGAAGTTGAAGACACAGATGAATCACAGCGATGTTAGGAAGTATTTCTTCAGCCACAGAGTAGTCAGTAAGTGGAATAGTTTGGGAAGCGATGTAGTGGAGGCAGGATCCATACATAGCTTTAAGCAGAGGTATGATAAAGATCACGGTTCAGGAAAGTGACCTAGTAGCGACCAGTGAAGAGGCGGGGCCAGGAGCTCGGACTCGACCCCTGCAACCTCAACTAGGTGAGTACACACACACACACACCACTCACACACACACCACACACACACAACACACACACACACACACACACACACACACACACACCACACATACACACACACACACACACACACACACACACACACACACACACACACACACACACACACACACACACACACACACACACACACACACACACACACAGATGGTGACGTAAAACTAATGGGGAAAATCCAAACAGTAGTAAACCAGAAGCATCAAATAGATCTGGACACAGGCTACAGGATCGGGCTGACAAGTGGCTACTGGAATCTAACCCCGGCAAATGCAAAGTTATGAAATACGGAGAAGGACCAAGGCGCCCAGAAACATTGTACAAGCTTGAGGGACAGACGCTGCAAACCTCCCAGGAGGAGATGGACCTTGGGGTGAACATTGTTTCAAGCTTTTCATCTACAGCACACAACAAACGTCAGACTGGCAGGTTGAATGGAAGCTTTCAGGAACATCGACAAGGAAGGATTCATGACTTTATACATGACTTACGTCGGGGCCATCTTGGAGTACACAGCACCAGTATGAAACCCACATCTGGTTAAGTATGAAAAGATGCTGGAAAAAGTGCAAAGGTTTGCAACGAAACTATTCCCAGAAAGCTGTGGGCTATAGGCTGTAAGCTGAGGCTAGAGAAGTTAAATCCGACGACACTAGAGGACAGCAGGGCCATTGGAAATGACAGGGTGGACAGGGTGAGTCTGAGAGGAGGGTCTCAGGAACACGAGTTCGCAGCTGGAAATTAAAAACACAGATGAATCACAGGGATGTTAGGAAATACTTCTTTAGTCTTAGAATGGCCAAAAAGTGGAACGGCCTAGCCTACGAAGTAGTAGTGGCAGAATCCATATATAGCTTTAAGAATATGTATGATATGACTCACGCAGACAGGATAGAGAAACCAGTAATGGCCAGGAGAGAGGCGGAACCAGGAGCTGAGATTCGACATACGCAACCACAATACATATACATACATACACATGCTGAAAGGAATTTACGGGGAAATCTTACATCTGCTGCTCCTGTTCTGGCAGTAATTGGCTTTAAGAAAACAAATTAGCAGACAGAAAGGATGGGGGAAATGAGAGTTAAAGATGGAATAGAAAGGGGAAATTTAGGGGTGAGGCTATGAAGGGAAGAGCTGAAATGGGGTAGGAAAGGAAATATGAGGATGGTGGGGTGGGCTAGGAGGGCGAGATAGTAAAGATGGGCTAAATAAGGCGAAGAAACGTGGGTAGAGTTGAGCTAGGAAGGGAGGAGAGTAGATGTGGGATAGGAATGAAGGGAGTATAAGAAACGTTGACAGGTGCGGCTCTTTGTAAGGGGTGCCAGCACTCGGCCCTAATATATACAGGCGCGAGCAGAGTGCTGATGAGCGGCTGGTAACACTGTACCACAACTAGCAGCAGCTAGGCTAGCAAGTACGTAGCTAGGCAGGCAGGCAGGCAAAGAGGTACGTCAGCAGGCAATCAGGTAGGGCAAGCAGGTAGGCAAGTAGGTAGACAGATAGGCAATGAGGCAGTAGAAGGTGCTTTTCTTCAATGGATTTTAAGGGAAACTTAATTATTGTTTGGTTGTAGAAGACCAAGCTTAAATATTTGCATTGTGTTAGAGTTTTTTGGAGGAGATGTCGGGTATGTTGAAACACTTACAAAGAAAAATAATGTCTACGTCCTAGACACGTAACCTGAAGGTTATTCAAACACCCAAGACATGGGCCAGTAAGGCCACAATTCACCTAAATCTAAAGCTAATTTAACACCTAAGTCAATGGTAATTATGACGGGTTCAAATAATCTCTGTACAACAGTGATCTAGAAAACGCGAGAACTGTCCGATTATTAGAGACTTTGAAAGTCAAAATACATTATTAATATCATTAGGGTCATGGAAAGCGCTAAACCCATATGGGTCATTCAGCGATGCACGGCAATATTGAAATAGTTGGAAGATAAGTGAATATCAACAAACTTCTTTGGGTACAAATCACTTCAAGCAGCATTAGAAATGAGTTCACTTTCTAAGTGGTAGTGGTTGGTTGTAGGAGCTTGCCAGCATAGACCGCAGGTATAATGTAGTGCTTCTCTTATGTTCTTAGTGGAAAATTAGGGAAGAAACAATGATGGTGATGGGAGAGAGAGATGGTGATGGTGGTGGTTGGGGGGAGGTGGTGATGGTGATGGTTGGGGGAGGTGGTGATGGTGATGGTTGGGGGAAGTGGTGATGGTGATGGTTGGGGGGAAGTGGTGATGGTGATGGTTGGAGGGGTGGTGATGGGGGTGGTTGGGGGAGGTGGTGATGGGGGTGGTTGGGGGGAGGTGGTGATGGGGGTGGTTGGGGAGGTGGTGATGGTGGTGGTTGGGGGGGTGGTGATGGCGATGGGTGGAGAGGGGGGAATAGTGATTACAGTGAAGGGAGTCAGGTGATGGGTGGCAGCGTGTACCTGCACCTCCCTCCTGCTACACACACCAAAGACGTGTTTTTCACTGGTATTAATTTCATTCATTCTCTGAACTCGTGTATAAGGAGCATCAAACTAACTGTTCTTTATATAGACTTTATTTCAGTAATATTTACTTAATGTCTTTTGAGTATTTACAAAATATCTTATAAACTATATTCACATTTTAAATATATATATAAATCTGTACAAATTTTATATTGGTAGAGTATAATACAAAGAATAAATACATATGTGTGGAGTTAGGAACATAGGGACTTGGACCCGACTCTCGTGTCACTGGAGGGCCCCTAGGCTTAACACTATATGGGCCCCCCACTCACTCCCATCCGGGGCCCACATACGTAATATCACTATATTTACATTGGTGTTCATTTTAAGAGATTGAACGCTGGGTGCTGGAGCGCCATATTCCAGGCAAACAACGGAAACTCTGCTGGTCTTAGGTTATAACATGGGAAGGCCTCGTCGCGTCGCCTTTCCTATGCACATTAGTGTCCAGTGTGACGATTATTCTTCCCGGTGTCGCTTGTTGAACTGTTACTCCAGCACTGTGAACCCCGGTTCGTATCTACTCACTCGTTATCATATACCAAGCCCGTGCCCTGGTCCCCCTGAACCCTCACTCATATCTTTGGTCCGTGCTCTGGCTAGCAGCCTCCACCAGCCGCAAGTCTTTTGTGCGAGACCTTTCGTCTCTAACCTCGTCCACTACACTGTTTTATGGCACTGTTTAATACCCTGGTTATGTCTTTGCGTTATGCATCTGTTTCAGATACCGACGCTATCTTTGCGGCAGACTAGCTTCACTGTCCACCAGCCTGAGCAACACTAAGTGACCATTAGCCCCCAGCCCTCCTACGTCCTTTCCTTCTCCCTAGCTTCACTACGTATCAGCCTAAATGGATTTAGTGACCAACTAGCCCTACATTCCCTATATCATTTCCTTCCTTGCTTTACTGTCATCCATTCTGAACAGTGACTACATTAGCCAGTGCCTTACGTCTGTCACTCGTGCTGTTTGTGCCTCTTCGCGACTCTAAGTCTCTACTGGGACTTCGATGCAAGCACCCGTCTCGACCACTCACTTGCTTAAAAAGAGCCTCAACTTCGTATATAAATTTAAATAAATGATATATCACATTGCCGGGTGGAACTAGCGAGGGCGTGACGCGAATACTTAGAGCCTGTTGGGATGGACAGCCTCACTGACTGATAACATCAATGCACAGGAGCGAAGAACCATTCCCTCACCGGCACCCGCAGCCCTCCACCACCATGTCCTGGTGGTTTTTGAGTACGAATCTCTCGTCGTCGTCCATATACAACATGGAGATGGGCGAGAGCTCTGTGGGGACGCAGCAAGCCTTAGGGACACGGTCAGGGTAGCGGGAGTTGACGAGCGTCTGCACCACGGCGTGGTTGGTGGCGTTTAGCCTATCAGGCAATGGGAAGGGACAATCTCCCTTGCAGAAGAAGGCATCGTAACCAGCTGGGGCAACAATCCAGTCGTCCCAGCCAACTTTCCTGAAGTCTACGTACAGGCGGTGTCTCCTACACACTTGTTTGCCTTTTTTATGTTTATTGACGCTGGAGCGTTTGTTTCTCACTTTAGCGTTGCCATCGCTGGCATGAATAACAAGCAGAGGTTGTTCCTTAGACCAACCATCATCTTCTGTTGATCTCCGGAGTCGCACATGAGAGGTGTCCAATGGTGAGCTTTTGGAGAAAGGCACCACTTCTACGAGCAGTCCGTGGTTGTTGTTGGGAGCAGCAATCCAGCGACGTACAGCGTCAGTTACGTCGAGGGCCTGAACTCCGTCTTGACGTGCATCCACAACATGGGTGTCCAGAAGTTTGAGGGCGGGTTCTGAGAACCGCGTGGCCCGGCGCAGGACATCATAGACCATGATGCGCTGCAGGAATGGTGCCTCCGACGCTGCCCACCGTCTGCCTCGACGATTCATTGACTGCTGAGTTAACGGCTGCGTCTCCTGGAGATCGGATGCCGCAGGGTGCCGCAAGTGCGTTAACCGCAGCTCGGCTGACTGCAGTATCTCCTCAATGGGCATGTGGGTCACATTGAAGCGGAACCGCATCTTGTGTGCAGGGTAGAAGTCGTCCGCCTTGCTCTCTGGAATTAGGATACATGTCACATCTCTAGCCTTGTTATTATTAGTGGTGGCCTGGGGTTCCAGGAACCAAGCTACACACACACACACAAACACAAGCACGCACACAGACACACAGACAGACAGACAGACAGACACACACACACACACGCGCACACACACACACACACGCACACACACACACACCCACACACAGACACAGGCACAGACAGACAGACACACACACACACACGCACACACATACACACACACACACACACACACACACACAAGCACGCACACGAACATATTCCAGCTGCATATGTAACCATTACTGAAGGTCATTAATTCTTCGTGTGACATTAAATGTATGCTCGCAGTGCCGTTTTGGGCAGTAGCTTACCTTTATGGATGAAGCTCCTGACGGTGTTGGGTGAGTCAGTGTGAATCTCGGGGTGTTGCTCCCCGGGCGCCCCCAGCTGCGCCTGCTGCAGCTTGTACAGCTCCAGCATGTAGGGCGGCACCACCACGTTTCTCTTGTTGCGCGGTCGCCGCTCTAGCCCAAACATGGAGAGGAGGGATCGTTCTAGCTGGCGCACTGTGTCTGTGTTTCCTGTAACACCAGCAGTTTGACTCACGTCTCCGCTGTACCCTGTCGCTGCTGCCCACACCAGCACCACCACCACCCGCCAACAACACGAGACCATCATGATACCAGCCTGGAAAATGAAAATGTTACATAATTACTTATGACATCGTTATATTATCATTATTATGAAGTATACGGAATTAGAGGAACTGGAATTACAGAATTAGTCAAACATTAGTAATTACAGAATTACTAATGTTTTATAAATTAATTACAGACGAAAGGAAACTGTATTGAATGGCGCTATGATACTTCAGTTCATGTGTACGATTGTGTGTGTATGTGTGTGTGTTTGTGTGTGTGTGTTTGTGTGTGTGTACGTGTGTGTCTACGTGTGTGTGTGTACGTGTGTGTGTGTGTGTGTTTGTGTGTACGTATGTGTGTGTGTACGTGTGTGTGTACGTGTGTGTGTACGTGTGTGTGTACGTGTGTTTGTGTGTGTGTGTGTTTGTGTGTGTGTGTTGTGTGTGTGTGTACGTGTGTGTGTGTGTGTGTGTACGTGTGTGTGTGTACGTGTGTGTGTGTGTGTGTGTCGTTGTGTGTGTGTGTGTTGTGTTACGTGTGTGTGGTCTGTGTGTGTGTACGTTGTGTGTGTGTTACGTGTGTGTAGTGTGTGTGTGTGTGTGTACTTGTGTTGTGTGTGTGTGTGTGTGTGTGTACGTGGTGTGTGTGTGTGTGTGTTGTGTGTGTGTGTGTTGTGTGTGTGTGTGTACTGTGTGTTGTGTGTGTGTACGTGTGTGTGTGTGTGTGTGTGTGTGTGTGTGTGTGTGTGTGTGTGTGTGTGTGTATTGTGTGTGTGTACGTGTGTGTGTGTGTGTGTGTGTGTGTTGTGTGTGTATGTGTGTGTGTGTGTGTGTGTGGTGTGTACGTGTGTGTGTGTGTGTGTGTGTGTGTGTGTGTGTGTGTGTGTGTGTGTACGTGTGTGTGTGTGTGTGTGTGTGTGTGTGTTGTGGTGTGTTAGTGTGTGTGTAGTGTGTGTGTGTATGTGTGTGTGTGTGTGTGTTGTGTGTGTGTGTGTGTGTGTGTGTGTGTGTGTGTGTGTGTGTGTGTGTACGTGTGTGGTTTGTGTGTGTGTGATTGTGTGTGTGTGTATTGTGTGTGTGGTGTGTGGTGTGTGTGTGTGTTGTGTGCCTCCCATCAACACACTTAGCCTAAGAAATTAAAATTACATGCTGAGTCTTACAGATGGGAACCATACCCTTTCTTCCTGCCCAATACACATGGTTTCTCCGCAGAGTTGACCTTCCGTAGTTTCACGAGAAGCAACACTGCAGGTTAATTGTAGATTAAGAGAAGGGACCAGGAGCTAACGTTCGACTCCAAGGACACACATGGTTTTTAAGTATATGGATGCACAGACATTAATATACATACATTATATATATATATATATATATATATATATATATATATATATATATATATATATATATATATATATATATATATATATATATATATATATATATATTATATATATATATATATTATACTGCATTATAACTTCGATATATCTTTAATGAGTTCCGAGAGTTTTTCTACTTCCGGAGCCCGGTCATGGGCCAGGCTCGTCTGGTGTTGGCATAAATTTGAAGATGAAACTATCTTATATCGCCACTTTTTAACAAGATATAAAACTGTTGGAATTATTGTTATTGTATTTATGTAAAACGCTAAACCCGTGTAGGTGACTCCGAGGCAGGAGAACCACTGTGTTGGTTTATAATACCGAGAAGTTAATGAATAAGACACAAGTACAACACTTGCGTATCTTTGTTGACGAATTACAAGTGTATCAGGTGTTGTCAGTCGAGTACAGGCGACCATAACACTGGAGATGGTAGAAATAATATTGAGTTGATAAGTCCTCAGTCTTGATAGAAGGTGGTCAGTCCCTTAGCCTGAGGGACTGACCATCTAACAAAGCTGAGGGACTGATCACCTCAGTCTTGCACCTGCAGTGTTATACTGGCCTGTGTTCCACCGAGGAAGCCTATAGCTCACGCTAATTCATTACGGTAATAAAAATACTCCAGTCATGTCCATTTATCTGACTCATGAACCTGTTAACAGCAAAACAGATAAATTACAAACCTGGCGTTCGATTTAATAAAAAGAAGCAAAATTTAAATTGAATTACAACAAAACTCTGACTTTATATTTTAGGGTAAACGGAAGAGTTGATGCGGTTATAAATATCTAAATTATATATCTGTGAAGCTGTAAGCCCGAATGGGTCATTCAGCTCACGGAGTGGTAGAAGCTCGATCCTGAGTTCCAATAATGGTGAGATGGACGTGTTACCCCTGCGGCGGCCAACTCAGCAGTTAGGTAAAACTCTCGTAAATACGGACGGGAGAGGCAGTACTTTACAAGAAGCCAGAGAAGAGGCTTAACTATTATAAAAATCTACTGAAAACGTTACATATATAATCTGGTAATGAAGTCTGCGACAGACACAACGGGGCTGATTAAAAAAAAACAAACTAATACAAACACTTGAGGCCATTTATTGGAAGACTGCGGTAGGCCTACTGGCCCATACTAGGCTGGTATGGGTGATCACGGGTCCAAGACTGAAAAGTTTACAATACTACATTCATACTGATATAAATGGTTCAGAGAACCGTCAGGCAGACAACTAAAACACTCATTCAACACTTGGGAACGTGTACTGGACTGATAAACTAACTGTTGGGCGAAACATTTCCACAAGTGTTGTAAAACTATTTCATAATATTTATAAAGAAAACGAACTTTAAACCCGTGTATGCCATACAGCAGTCTTGCCAGCATGTCACACCTTGACGGACTAACCATTTCCTATCAAGGTTGACGGTTTGATCACATCAAGACTTCTACTGCATCCAGTGTTCTACTGTATTATCACGAAGGAACTTGTTGTGCAGATGATGAGTTACGACACTCAAGGTACCCAAGTACTGTACATATGACTTAGTCAAAAACTTGCCGGTAGTGGATACTATTAATAAAATAATAAAAAAGTATTTAGGGAAGCAATTCTATACTGGTGGAATAGCTGATGAATGGAATGAGTTGAGGAAGGAGGTTGTGTGCGCAGCTTCACTCGTTGAGTACCAACTCGTTGGTATTGTATACCATTATCATATTTGTGCGCGATAAGCTTCGGAATATTATGAAAAATATATGGAGACCGCAAATATTTGCTGCAGCAAATGGGTACACCAACACACGGAACCAGGAGCTAGAATTCGACCCATCTCCCTCTCCGCAATAATAAGTGATTATACACGTACGCACACACAACAGTAGGCACGATAGGACCCAGTAGCTGGAAATCAGCGGCCATTTTTTGGGAGGGGGGGCATGAAGAGGGGCCAGGAAGCAAGACTCGATCCCGCGAACACAGACAGACAGACAGACAGACAGACACACACACACACACACACACACACACACACACACACACACACACACACACACACACACATACACACGCACACACACAGAGGGGGCCAGGAGCTTGGGATCGACCCCTGCAACCTCAACTAGGTGAGTACACACACACACACACACACACACACACACACACACAGCTATGAATCGACCCCTGTAACCACAATTAGGTGAGTATAACTCCTCCCGAGACCAGGAGTGTTAAATGAACATAAGAACATTGTTGAATGATGCATCACACGCACTCTGATTACAGAGACAGACACACAAACGCATACACACAGATATATACACATTCATTCGCACACACATACACAGCCAACAAAAGACACTTGGTTGACCTCTGGATGTCTCAGACTGAGTAAGGTGCAACACTCATCTACGCCTTGCGTAGTGGAGGACCTATAACCCAACCCTCCCCCCACCCCCACCCGACCGTCACCCGACCCACACCCGACCTACACCAACCACGATCCGCGGGTCTACGAGCGGTGATCAATCTTTACGAGCATTGATTAACGTCTGCGAGTATTAATTAATGTTTAGGTGAGTATGTTCAACGTCTTAGAGAGTTAATCAACGTCTGAGAGCATCGATTAAGATCTGCTAATCAGTTATATTTGCAAAGCAATAAAATCACTTGATTATTCAACGCATTAAATTATATTATATAAGAAAAATTATATAAGAAATTTACACTATCAGTATCAACTTGCTACTGTTGTGGCCAGTTCACTCTCGTATTGCAAAAATCACATTAGCAATAGTTTTACGCAAGTAAAACTATTGCAAATATTTTTCAGCAGTCCGCAATCCATGTCTATAAAACACTCAATGGCATTGGCCAGGAGCGTCACCAAATTAGACGAAAGGGGAAATATCCCTACTGTTTGCGTTGAGATGCTGGGTTTACAGTCATGCAAGCACCGTGTGGAAAGAGTGGCATCTCTCCCAGGAGAGACGTCCTCAACTTCCCCTAGGCACAACCCTCAGTAACCCACGACTCATAAAATCGTAATAACATGATTGTAAAAAGCAAGTCACGGAACGGGTGGGACTTGAACCCATGGCAAGCGAGTCCTAAAAATTACAGACCAGTGTGTTAATCACTGCGTTAAGGTGAGCCAGTGTCAGGAGAGGGGAGATTTACGTCTGCAAGCGTCTAATCTTTATTGCACAAGCATCAACACACACACACTCACACACACACACACACGCACACACACACACACACGCACACACACACACATACACACATACACACACACACACACACACACACACATGGCCCTACCCTCGAATGCCTGCGATGTAGTTTACCGTCAGACTATTTTACAACGTATCATTACACCGGTGTAATTGTCAAAAAAAAAAAATGAGTTCGTTGGCCAAATTCATTTACTGATATTCACTCATAACATAGTTTTTTACTGCAGCTGGAATGAGAGAGCAATTCGCCAGTCTTATGAAGCAGACATCGACCTTATGGTCACCATCCTGTAATATTATTTTTACAATTAACCAGCAGAGGACTTTCTTTTAACACTAAATTACTGAAACTATTAACATCGACGGTTGATTAAAAAAAAAGAACATTGTAATCCACTGTTAAATTATCTAAGACACTGAGTT